CTGAACCTGAATTTTGATAGTTAATTCACAACTAAGCAGTAAAATATAGTATATATTCCTGACAGCCTCGGAAAAAAACAAAACAGTCATTTTATGCCTGCACCCCATTGAACATAACAAACAAGGCTGGATATTTCTCCACAGATTTTTACTTTAGCTGTGTCAAGTTGCAAAAATCACAGAGGAGTTCCTCTGCTGATCTCTCATCATAAGATACCTCTAGCCTCCTATCTGGGATATTCCCTTATTCCAGTAGCACTCAGAGTCCATGACCACATAGCTTAGAACCAGCAAAAGTCAGATCTCCGTCTTTCCATCCTCTTTGCATTGCATAGGTAGCTCCAAGAGAAGAGCCAAAGGCACTGGGGATCTTAACTAACAGATTTTGCATTGTTATTGAGGGCACATGAGGAAAGTTTAAGTGTTGACAAGAGCTGAATTGGTGGCTATTGAAAAGAGATCAGAATTCAAAACCTCATTTATCAAGTGACAGAAAAAACTGTTTATAATGTCCTTTAGCAAATCTTGTCTATAAGAAATACTTTTAGCAGGTAATTCCTATTTCTTAAAAAACTTCATCATTTTTGAGAATCTAATATTAAATATAAATACATCGTAAGGAGGGAAATAAAGGGTAGTTCTGAGCTAGCTCATGCTCTCTTAAAAAATGTGTATAACTGGAAAAGTCAAGCTAGGTAAAAGTATATATAAAAAAGATATCCTTCTTTCTGTTGTTGGTCAAAGAATGTGTTAATTATGAAACTTAATATTTGTATTATGTGGCTTTTGGATTCCAGATAGATATTACATCCCTTGAGCTTGATAGTTCACATTAATTCCAGACGAGGTGGTTTAATGATCCAGCCATGAGATTGTTTATTCCTAACAGGAAACGAATTGTAGCCAGACATCCTTTTTATGGTGGATGACAAAGCTGTGAACACTGCTGGAAATAAGTTTATGCTTTGCAAAAGAGTTTTTAGGGTGAGATTACCACCTCTGGTAGGCAGCTATCCATACCAGATACAATTGTTACTATAGTCTCTAAATCTCTCATTTCCTTTGAGTAATTTTCTCAGAAAATAAGAAAAATAAAACATTTTTGGACTGCAGTATTTAGATGTTAAGGAAATAACTGTCAGGTTTGAGTCAACTGAATATTCATGCTATGGTATCTGCTTTTATTAGTTTCATCTCATTTCCACATGTCTTTTGCTTTAATATTGTTTAATTTATTGAAAAAAAAAACCCAGCAAACAACTATGTTACTGCACAGTTTTTGGTTTGATAACTGCCCAGTAAAATGAGGCTTTTTCCTAATAATCTGTATTTTCCCCCTTCTTCCTTTAGGGATGTACTTTGATTGATCATATTATATGCAGCTTTTATTGAGGGAGAGTATATGCATTCTGTCTTGGAAACAACAGACAATATCTTCAATGTCTGTCTCTTCATACAAGTTTATAATCTGGGCTGGTGCTTATCTTTCTACTTACTGCAACCAACCAAGTATCAATGCTGGTACATTTTCTTTGTCCTGCTAATCCAAGGAAGTGATAAAGATCAATGAGATCCACACTTTATCAAGTATCAGGAAAATTTTGTTTGCCCAAGGGTTTCATTTCCTTTCTGTGTTGTATAACGTTAGCTTTCCCATAGTGGATATCACAGCAGGCATCTTGCAGCTGAGGAGGCGAGCGCTCCCCGGGGATACTGCCTTGCTGCTCTGTGACCAGCTGCAACAGCACTGCCATACACACACACCACACACACACGCACACACACACACACACACGCACGCACACACAGACACACACACATACACACAACAGCAAGTGGTTTGGTGGGGGGGGGTTATGTAAGATTATAGAAATCTCCTTTGCATTAACCCTAATTAAATGCATACACTCAGAACAAAATAATGATGGGTTATAATGTATTTTAGCCAACATACTCTCTTAGGAGACTATTCTATTTGGGCAAAGGGAGCTTTGCACTGTATCCATTTCTTTTACATGCATAATTACTTTAGCAGTTTCACCGTTTCTTTACCTTGAAAAAGATAAGTAATCCCAAATGTTTTAATAGCAAGAAGCCCTGTATTTTCTGCTGAAAATAATTTTTTCAATATTGTAGATCTATAATTTTTTTAAGATTATGTATGCAGACAACTGTGGCCAGGATACATTATTTATGAAGTTTCATCAAAGGCTGTAGGAATTCACAGAAGAAATTATAAATATGTAGGAAACCTAAGACTGTCGGAGTTTATATAGGCTAAATCTTGTATCTTTCAGACTGTATTTCTGATTTTTGAGCTCCTTTACCTCCCATTTAGTCCAGGTGAGAGCTTAAGCAGTCTTTCAAAGCAAGTCTTAGGACAAGCAATAAATCTGACCCTGGAGGGTGTGAAAAAATAGAGCACTGGGAAGTAGATTGACTTATGAATGATTCATGGAGAAAATGAGCTTGAAGGAAGTGAAGATGATGTCTAGGGAAATACAATGGAAAACATGAGAGCCTCCTCGCTACCATGGGAAATACCAAGAAATATAAGTACAAATCTAACAGTGAAGGAAAGGAG